TTTTAAACTAGACTTACATAAATAAATAATCTTATTTTGCAGTTCACAATACAAAGATTTTTCCTCTCATGGCATTTATTCTCACTGATAGTTTCATTCTGTTGTTGTGTAACTAAATCCATCATTTACATATGCCCAACTTGAAAAAGAGAGCTAGCTGCAACCACTACCAGTGTATTAAAAAACATTTTGTTTGACTAGAGGGAAAATGAATGAATACCCAAAAATCAAAATATATACCAGGAAATCAGGAAAATTCTGTGAGAAAATGGCCATTGTGATAAATCTACTTTCATAATTTATGAAGACATGACAGTGGATTCTACGTACCATTTTTAGGCATCTGCTTTCAGGCTTGCTCTACAGTATGTATTTAAACACTACATTTTGACCATCAAAATGCAAAAAACAGTGCAAAACTGGCACATAGCCTAGCAAAAGACAGTGTCTCTATTCTCAGCTCCATGAATGTAACAGAGTAGAAGCTATTGGCTCATGGCAGAGTTACTCTGCAGAAACTAAGATTGAATTCTGGTCTGTGGAGCAGGTAGGAGAGAAAATTCTCAGTGTTTCTGCCTGGAAGAGATGCTGAGCAGCCGGCAAGCTATGCACAAGAGCTTTATGGTGCAGGTCTGTGAGCACAAAAGATCAAAATAAAAACTTCAAATGACCATTGCAAAACAGAGTTAAGCAAAGCTGCCTGCAGTCTCAGCAGTGACACTTCCCGAACTTCTAATGATGGGGCACCTCAGTGTACACTGACTCCAGCTCAGCCTCTGTTTTCACCCAACCTGCTAATGGAAGGAGCATGTTTGATTACTGACTCAGGGAGTAGATATTTGCCCTGCTTCCTGCAGTTCGGTAGTTAATGTTTAAAAACACGCTATTTTAATAATAATAATTAAAAAAAAAGTATCCACTGGGAATAAACATTATCCTTTAATTTCAAAAAATAATTATAATATGCATCTTAAAATTCAGAAGAGTGTGGCTCATGAATAGGAATGTAATTTCATGATTTAAATGCTGATGGTACGGCTAGAAAGCAACCGAAGTACATTATACACCAACCTAAGATTCTCATATTTTTCTGTAATATTAATTCAGAATTAGCAACGCTAAGCCACCTGCTCTTTCCTTAATAGAGCATGAGTTATTAAGACCAAAGTTTTAAATTATGTTTATGCTCTAATAGAAAAGATCTGGTTTCTTAATTTGAGGTGATTTAGTTTACCTGCTTTACTTGGCATATTAATTATTAAGTAATTGTCTGAGTGTCATTTAAGATTAAATCATGCTGAATTGCTTGTACCCATCTTTCCTGATTGTTTGTATTTTCCAAATCTGACAAAAGAAATCAGCATACACTAAACCAGATCATGACTTATGGGGGTAAGAATAGTCTGGTGGCCATGGTTGAGCATTTGTAGTTAGGGGACTCAGAAATTCTTTTGTGCCGTGCTAAAATCTTTATTTTCGTCTCTTATGATGGCTCTTACAACTACAGTCTCAGAAGCACTTTTTAATTTTGAATCGTTTAGATTTGGGGCTCAGTGTTTAACGTGTCACTGTGATTTGATTTTTAAAGCTAGTGTACACTCAAAGCTACAATTTGAATCAGGTGAGAGCCAGAATGTCAAACATTTTTGAAAATGAGGCTTTATTTTTGGAACTTTACAGCACAAATTACTGGCTCTGATTTTCAGGATTTCCTTATACAGTAAGCTGTGGGTTGAGGGTAGAAATTTCAGTAATCTATTTTTCCATCTTATGCATTACCTAGTCATATTAATCAAAACATTTATTTCCATGCTTACCATTTAAGAATGAATTCACTTAAATTAATTTGAATTTTGTTTTTAAAAACTTACTGAAAGTAAGCTGAAATGGTAACTTTTCTGATTATAAAATGTCAACTTGGAAATTTTGAGTATTTAATAAATTTTCTGAAAAGGAAAATTAATCAATCTGACTATTTCTGAGTGTTGTCAATGGCTGTGATGCCTAGAAAAGACTTGTGCTGAGAAATTTCCTGTTAGTTCTAGAAGTAGAATTTTCTTGATGTTACATGTTTGGCAAGGCAAATTCATCAAGATGAGGGAGTTAATTTTTGTTGAATTTATGGATGTTCAGAGCAAAGTGTAAATCTATCAAATTTCTCAGATACCTTTGTGTCATGTTGCAGGATGTGGATAAAGAGACAACCACTGCAGAACTGCAGGAGCAATTGCTTTGTTGCTTTAGCCTTTCCTTACACTACTTTCTCATCTCAAGGGAATGCACAGTTGTTATGCTTAGGAATTAAATACGGAATTCAAGTTCCCCTTGATAAAGCATAGCAACCAAATCTCTACCCATACTATCATTAAAAAATTCAGATCTTCCTGGCCCTTTTATTAGGCAAGATCAAGGCCAACACATTACAACTTTCTGTACATCTTCTTAGTATCTTTAGCTTGAAAACAGTTAAGGTGGTTCTGGCTAGACTAGAGATTCCCAAGCTTCAGTATATGACGGCAATTTAAATGAGGTGCCTCTACAGTGTGAGTTGCAGTAATATGCATCTCCCTCTGCTTAGAGGCATGAATAGGTGCACTCACATCATGGGATACTAGAGCATGTTTCATGTCAGGTGGTGTCCACAGAAGAGCTCAAGAACCTTCAGCCTCCAAACTAAATCCCGCCACATTACAGAATGGAGACTGGGAGAGATCATCAGACGGCCAATGTGAGGAAGTTTCATGACTTGCTATTCTTATACGCTTCTCCACATACCCACTAATGGCCGCTGCCACAAGCAGAGTGTTGAACTATGTGCATTTCTGGTCTAACTCGGTATGGTCACTCCTATGTTGTTAAAGACTGAGAAATCCACATCTCAAGTTTTATTTGGTAATTAAGAAAAGAATAGTTTCCATTGCTGATCAGATTCCATTATTGTACATAGAAGCTTATATCATCTGTGCAAATGTAGGAAAAGACAATTATCCTGCAGAATGCAAAAGAGAAAACTGCTACAGAGAGAAAGGCAGAAACTGCTCAACTGGCCTCCCCAGTATAACACAGAATTTCAGTGACAGGGTATCTTTCCCCAAATCCTGATAATAGGATTCCCAGAGATGTCTCCTTGAAAACCAACTTACACATGATCCTTACCAAGCTGTTTATCACAGCCAGCAATACGGATATCACAGCAGGAGTAAGCCTGTCTTAATAATCCTGGTGCACTACCCAGTAGTGCTCTATTCCTGGATTTCTTCAGTTTACAAGCAGATCTAAAAAATTTAATATTTCTTTCTAAAAGTTATCTATGAGAGATACAAAGATGATCTTTCTTTGTGAGCTTCCCCCTTTCCAGCCAATCCTCTCCTCCAAAATGAGGCAACCCCCAGCATCAGCAGAACAGTGCCTCTTTTGAACTGCTGATTTCATCCTGGTTTTGGAATAAAACTCAGACATACTCTCTTCCAATGGCTAATCCCTCCAGTGCCATGTTTCATAGGTGGTTACTCACACTTATGCAAGGTGGGAATAGAGAATGGGAAATCCCAATTGTGTATAGTGATACTGAATATTCATTTTTCATAACTACAAGCAATAGCAAACGGTGCAAGAAATCGTATCTCTGTGCATGCTCCACTGCATCAGTTTTTCATTTTTAAGACAGCTGATTTGGACCTGTCCAGTCATGTTTATATCTTTTGTTCAACTGCATTCTTTTTTGCAAAGGTGCAGCTGGTTTTGATAGAAATTGGAATGTCAGCTTTGCTTATCCCACTCGCTATTACAGCATAAAGTTATTCTCCTCTTCACATTGTGCAAAACCAATTTCTGCATTGATACAATGAATTAAGGAAACTTTCCATTTATAGCCTATGCCAATTTGATGCAGGTCCTGCTGAAATATTTCCAGGAAAAATCTTGGATGCTTGAGCTGATTTTATGTCCTGAAAAGTGATTTAAAACTATGTCTTTCTTGTCTCCAAGTATCACCTCTGTCTGTGTCCAGCAGAGAGAGCAATAATAAATCTTATTTATGTGACCCAAACTGTGATTTCAAAGGACTGCAGAAGTCCAACTCTATGCAAAATCAGACAAGGTCATACATTTGCTCTCAGTGGTGAAGTTTAGTGAAGTCATTACTGTGCCAAATCAAAATATGATCCTGTCCAGCCCTTCCAGCAGCCTTGTGCCACTGACTTCACTGGGATGACAGGGCAGTTACTGTCTCACACAGTGGGTCACAGACCTCCAGCAACAGCAAAACAGAAAATAAGTGATCTAGAAACATCTAAATTACTGTAAGACTCTCTACCTTCCACCAAAACCTGTCCCAAACTCACTGAAGGAAGAAAATGCACTGAAAAAAAAAAAAAAAAATCACAGTTCTTCCTCTTCTGAAAAAATTTTAGATTCTCTCTGGTGCAAGTGGCAGCCTTTGGGGCCTCGACCCAAAGGTCCCATTCACTCTGGTGCCGCCCTGTTGATCGATGAGAATGAGGCTGCAGCAACCAGCGGAGGAAGGCTGGATTTAGGGGCTTTGGTGCTTATCAGATGTAAGTGGCTAGTTGATACGAAGTGGCTATTGTTACCCAGTCTCACTCCAGCTCTTAGCATACAGATATCTGCAAACACCATTTTCACGTGTGATACTAATTCTGCCTGTCTTATAGCCACCATCACTGCCACGGTGTGAGTGCTCCCAGCCATTAATGAAGGGATGCTGGGAACCCCTCTGAGGCACAGCCAAGTATTATAATCACTCTTACAGCTGGGAGCTGGAGCGTAGAAATGAACTGTGAGCATCTAAGCCCACATAGAAAGTCAGCAACAGACTTGAGAATTGGCTTCATTTCTTCTCAGTCTCATTTCCGTACCTTCTTTTCTTTGTTCTGTCTTGTTCTTTTTCCTTACTTTTCTCCTTTCCCCAACTGAGAGCATTATCTGGGGGCTAAGGGAGGAGTTGAGCCGAGAGCTGAACTACCCATGAGCAGCTCAAGTCCTGGAGCACCGTGGCTCATAGACCTTGTGGGGACCCAGCCTCTGCCAAATTTCTCATAGAAAGGGCTTACATTTCTGACGGTGGCACATTTTGCAAGGACTCATTAATTTTTTAGTTTTAAAATCTCTAAATTGCTAGCCGTGCAATTTTTAAAGCTTCTCCCTGTGCTACTCACCTGTCTGTTCTTACTATAGCATCCAGCCACCTGGCAGTCTTGAAGGCATTTGCTTTCCTGAGAGTCCATCAAGGTAGGGAAGTAATGTGTATCCTTCAGTTACAAATGGAGAATTGAGTCAAGGAGAGGCTGTGTTAGCCCTGAGGATGCATTTGATAGCCCAGGTCTCCCCAGTCCTAAGCCAGCTCCCTCACCACTGGGTCATCCTCTCAGCCCTTCCTTGAAGGTTGTTGAATTATGGGACTCCGCTGTCATAAAAAACCCCAATCCTTTCATCCATCCTTCCACCCGTCATGCACTGCTATCTCATCTAGCAGCAGATGCACACATTTGAACCATATGAGAAAAAAAAAAAAAGGAACAAAGACCAATGTTTACCATGGGATGGTTTGAAATCTTTGTAGTTGGCAACTAAATCAAAGGAATACTTATGTTTTGATGTACAGCAGTCTTAAATCATTTGTAATTTTCTATCACCTCCTTTTATCAACAAATTAACATCTTGATATACAAGATCATCAGTAAATTAGCAATCAGCACCAAAACACAAATTTATTTTTTAATGTGTGTACAAAACAAAGGACAATTGATAGTATGTGGTGTAGCACTTTACATTTTAAAGAGAAAATAAAAATATTTATGTATGTTAACATATTTGTTATTTTATTCCGGCACCTGCAATTGGTGAATTTCTCTAGGCTTTGTGTCATTTTGATGTATGTGCTGTCCAAACTCTTTCCTTTGCAAAGAGTCTTCTATTTTCATGAACAAGAGAGGAGGATGGGGAGCTATATGAAGGAAAAGGAAACACATCTGCGTCTCTCTCAAGGCAAACATTTTAAACTTAATATTAAAAACACACTAATTTCAAAAGTAAATTCTATGTGTAAGGTGAGGACATTTCTTGTAAACAAAGCAAAGTAATAGTTTAGCATGAATTTAAAGCTAACATAAAATTGCAGATAAAATCCTCCTCCCCCCAACAATCATTAATTCATTAATCCTTGAAACCATCACTGCATTGTTTTCTGGTAATTATACACACCTCATATGCTGGCTTTTTAAGACATTAATTGCATGATTAGTTTTATGATTTCTTCTGATTACCAATTAAGTTACCTTTTTCTCTCTTTTTTGTATTTCATACATACCATTAAACTTTATAGTGCTTCTTTTTTAATTTCTCACCTAGCAGGGGTTCTCACACATTCGAAGACTGCATTATCCACTCAATAAACAGAGAGAGAGTTTAATTTTCTGTGTAAAGTATTGGTGTGGACTTGGAAGGATGATGTTTCAGATATTATGCTATCAAGAGTGACATTTAATTTTACAGGGAAAAAAATCTTGTTTTTCCCTGTCATAACAATGTTCACAGAGCATGATTTTAAGATGTGCAGAGACGAAATCAAGTGATTCTGTCTGTTGGCTTAGCTGAAGTTGTCACATCTTCCTTTTTTGCCCAACATGTATTGCCAGCTGGTCTTCGATTCTATTAGTGTAATTTCTTGTATAGAGTTCTCTGGGTCTGTGCCTATATATAAAAGTAGCATCCCATATATCATAAATCAGATACACATACACGATGCGCTCAAAGACTCAGGAAAAAAAAATTGATCAGTGGGACTATAAGTTTGAGTAGAACTGAATTTCCAAATCCCCAATATAAGTGCATCCCAATTATCTTGTAGCCTGCATCCTTCAGATGCTGAGAAATCTCAACTTTTTTAACACACATTTGACTTTCAGCAATTGAGACTCCTATCAACTGCAATGGCAATATGCTAATGTCTATACATATTAGGTGAAGCTCGTGGGTGTTTTTAGAGACTTATAGATGAGAATATTGCACAAAACACAGAAATACAAAACTAGATACAAAAAATATTTTTTACTCTCCATATTGCACATACTTCGACAAAGGCTGTGTATCTCAGTACATGTTTCTTTTTATAAACATATTTGTATGCTTGGTATATCAAACATTTACATGGGATTCATATACATATTCTGCATCATCTTTGCAGTGTAAAAGCAATTACATTTAATAATCAACACCAGAGAAGATGCCTAAATGGAAATTAATTGAGAAAGGCCTTTACGTAAAGGAAACATGGAACTGACTCATAGACCTTCTTGAAGAGAATAATACAGTCTATAGTATAGTGTGTGTGTGTGTGTGTGTGTGTGTGTGTCTTCTGCTTTCTCTGGTATCGATTTAAATGAGTACACCCGTCCACTTTCCTGACAGCTATGTCAGGTCAGAGAATAGAAAGACTCTGGGAGTTGCAAGGTAACTCTAGTTGGACCACCATAGAAAATATACTCCCAAGTTTTCTGTTGATCCTTAAAATGCTTGCTTGCCAAAGCTGTACTATGGTTCTCTAGTAGGAAAACAATGTCCATGGTGTACCATATGCTGTTCTACAAGCACCCTGCGGACAGCAAGTCAGCATGGAGAAATGTGCAAAATTGAAGGTGTTCCTGTAATTACAAGTAAGGACACCTCCAGCTCTATGAAAGCTGTAATTTTTTTACAAATTGTATGAAAAAAAAATCAGGTTGTCTGATTAACCTTTATTTTTCTGTCATGGTTTTCCTTTTTAAGAGATCTTTTAAATCTATTTCATTCGGTCCTGCTTTGTATTGAATAATACATGAGGCAGCAGCAAAGTCTGTCAGTCCAGAAAACAGAAGACTCCAGGAGTACGGGCACTGGTTGTCACTGGCCTGACAAGGTCAGGAATGGATTTGGAGTGCCAAGAGCTTGCCATCGCCTTTAGTTACAACTGATAGTAACTTAAATATTTCACTAACCAGATGCTTTTATCTTTGATCTCTTTAGAAGTATTTTTAGGCATAATCTGGATATTTCACCCATCTTTTAGATTGAATAACCAATATAAATTGTTTGAAATATTTTTCCAGCTTCCAAAAAGGTGAATGTGTATTTACGCCGCTTCTGTCTGCTTTCTAGGCTATATCAAACTCAATACTCTGATCAAAGCAGAAATATTTCCTTCTAATAGCTGCATTTTTTTTTGTAATTGCACTCTTCTGCTTTCAGCCATTCATAGAAAGTTATACTTACAGGAGGTAATGAGGTAAGACCACATGTTGTAGCTAACTTGAAAAAAGAAGAAAAGAAGTAGCATAGGTTTTCCTGTTTCTTCTTTCTCTTTGGCAAAAATTACTTGGCTGCTGTTTTTGAAGAAAGAAAATTTGTGAGAGATTTGGAGGAAAGGCAGAGGGGAAAAAAAAGCCATAATTATGGCTTGCTCTTATATAAGGCTTTTACTGGCAAGAAGGCAGACAGGATTCTCTTGAAGACACAGTCAACATTTTTCCCAAAAGATATTTTGAACTTATTTTTTTCTAATTCTGTTTCTTCTTTCCAAAAGTGTTCAAATCATCATCCGTCTTTCAGAAGGCTGAGGCCGTGACAAATACGTGTTTTCACTGTATGGAGGCAGTGCCTACAGGCTATCCCTCCTTCTCTTCTGGCACTCTGAGAAAAACTTATGCTTTCATTCCTAAATTAAGGTGTTTAGAAGTCAATAGATCTACTTTATTTATAGCATCTCGTGGTTTGAATCAAATATTATAGGATCAAATGGTGATGCCTCTTACACTTTTACAGCACTGTTGGCAGATATGTTCCTAGGCATCAAGAACCATCTCCAAATAAAAAAAAACCACCAAAACCCGATAGATAAATCAATACAATCAATAAAATAGATCAATAGCCAGTTTGGTTAATGTAGAAAAAAGACGTATTGTACATCCTTTCCTGTGACAGGCATTATCCCCAGTGGTTTTAAAATCAAAGCAACAGTGTATTTCAGAAAGAGTAATAATAAAAAAAGGAAATTATTCTGCATGGTACCTGATGTCAGCTGGGTGATGATGGGCATCAAGGACTGTCCAAAGGCCTGTAACCTGTGAAGCATCTCTGTCTGCATCCACATATTTCCTATTCTTATTATGTCAGAAACAAAGTTGTTTGCAGCTCACAGAAGTGCTGCCCCACAGCGTGGCTGGGACGCTGTGGCAACACAGAAGTTTGCATTGTGCTGCCGCTGCTCAGAGCCACTACAACCCCGTCAGCCCTCGCTTTCTCCCTCGCTCACTCCATTCCCCAGTTTATGTGTGCTTATGAGCCTCCTGAGCAAATTCCTGTCTTTACCACTGACCCAATGTGTGCCCTTGGGTAGGTTGCCTAGGACCTCTTCTTCAGTAAACCAGCCACTACACGTCAGCCCTCGCTTTCTCCCTCGCTCACTCCATTCCCCAGTTTATGTGTGCTTATGAGCCTCCTGAGCAAATTCCTGTCTTTACCACTGACCCAATGTGTGCCCTTGGGTAGGTTGCCTAGGACCTCTTCTTCAGTAAACCAACTGTATATGTGGACAGTATCAGTAGGATGATATAGGCTAAGCAATAACAATAGTACTGTGCTGAATGTGTTTAGTGCTGAGAAAATGAGTTACTGCCCTCAGAGAATGCTATGAGTTTTAGAAGTTTCATTGGTATACCAGAGAAGGTGCTTCCAGAGCAATATAGCACATCCTTGAAACTAGAAAGTACAGACAAGCAGCATGGAAATACTGTCAACACACTCTCTGATAGCCTCCAGCCTTATTTTAATAGAAGTATGAATAAATGAACCAGTAACAATTCCAGATATTCCTTCATCTTGCAGACTGATGTAACCCAAAATTTTAACAGAAGTTTATTAATATTCAAATAGTTATTTGAACAATGTGTTTTCATCCTCTTGCACTTCCTGCATCTGTAGGTTTAGTTTTCACTGGATACATGAAGTGCTGAAAGTGTCATGAGAGGCTTTTCTCTTCCTAAGATCATTTGCAGTTGCACGTTGTGTAAGCCCGGGAGGTTTGGATAAACAAATGTGTGGGTCCTTTTCAAACCACACTGCACTTCCAGAATTTCAGTTTGCCCATCACTAATGTTCTTTCAAATCCATGTTTAAATTGGGAACAAAATTATCTCCAGTTTACAGAACTGTAGCCATCCATAGCAGCCCAGATGGATTAGGATTGCTGCATCAGAGAAGTCCGTTAGTGTCGTGCAAAGTACAGCTACAGTATAAGCCATTTCAAAAAGTACAGTTGCCTCTGATCAACGTAAAAAAAATCCTCTTACTTCTCAAAACACAATGTAAAAATGCACATCAGGATACAGGCCAGATACATCAAATACATCTTTTAAAAGAGGAGCTTAACCCACAAGAGCCATCGTTCACTATTAATTTTCTGTTATTCTGCTATTCTTGATAGCAGCCCAATTTAAATGGGTGCTGAATGCCACAATGCATGTCTCATCCACTTCTTTCCCTTGAAGCATCCAAGGAACTTGATGTATTTTTGCTGACCTCATGTATCACGTACCGACCTCCCGTCAATGAATTGCATACGAACATGGCATGCAGCCGGCCAAGTCCAGGCATCAAATGGCAGGAACCAAAGGGTAGGCAATCCTGGACTATATTATACAATCATTATAATGGGGATGTCAGAATTAGAATACCAGTATGAAATTTCTATTTCTTTGATCTTGAGAAGGGGCAAACTGGCCAGCCTGCTTACTCTTGCAACGTACGCCTGTCTTTTTTTGCTGCCACGTTCTTACTTTTGTTGCAAGGGAAAGACCACTGAGGAAGTCACCCCAGCCTGAGTCGCATGGGTTTGCCAAGAAGGGCTGTTTGTCCTCAACGGTTTTCCTCCATTTTTCATACTCATCAGAGGATGAGATCCTAACCAGCACTGAGGAGCTGTGGGGTTGATGGGCAGGATCTAAGGCAGATATGCAGTAACACCTGGTTTCTGTCTGCATCAACATCCAAACCTAAAACCCCTGGTCCATGCCTGATCGTTCAAGCATAAATAAAAACGGTTTTCATTGCTGGTATTGGTGAGAATGGAAGGACATCATTGCATGGCATAAACCACTGTATCCTACAGCCTCTGTGGAAGTTGTGAACCCAAGATGTACAGCTCCCACCATGTATTCTGGAGCTGAAAGCAAAGTGGTTCTGTTTTGGAAGATACGGGTGCAGCTTTTAAAGTGGCAGGACTGAAATGCCGCACTAAGCTGCTCTAGCTGGGCATCTCATTTGGGATCCTTTGTCTCCTACCTTCATTTTCAATAAAGTAATCTTGAAAACTTGTTTCTGAAAACAGGATCCCTATTTATAGGGAAAGTTGTTGCTTTTTTACATTTTGCAGGAGCAATCTTTCATATCAACATTTGTTTGATATGGAAATACTGTATACTTGCTGCTTTTAAGCCCACCTACACGCACACCAAGTTTCTGAATTACCAGTAGAAATCTATAGGCTTTTGTGCACAAACTCAGCTTTTTAGTATGCACCTGTGTAAGAAATTTCTTTGAAAACAGCATACTTGGATTTTTGGTTTTTGCCTATAAATAGCCTTGCTTTGTAGAATGAAGTTTATTACAGGCTCTTTTAAATACATTTCTAAGAGGAAATATGTAGTTGTCCTTATTAAAAATGAATTATATACATCAAAATTAAAGTTGTTTGCAATAACACAACATTCTTCTGCATCTTGTGGTAACATCAGCACAATCAGTGGAAAACATAAAAGGAGATAGTCAATACACATTTGAAATGACAATTACAATGTCGAGCAAGGGTTCTTTTAAGTTTTTTCCTGAGAATTTCCCACAGACATCTGGCTCCAGCACATACCTCTAAATCAGTTTTGGAGCAGAAGGCTGCAGGAGGAGGAAGTCCTGCCTTACACATTGGGAGATACCATGAGGCTGCCTAAAATTACAAGATATACTACAACTTTAAAAAAAAAAAATCTGTTAAATAATTATTATATCATTATCTTTGTATCACTTTCGAGACACAAAATACTTTTTCTTACTGGCATTAGATCTTTTAGCTTTTTTTAAAGTGTTTTGCAGCTAAAACTGACTCCTGGGGCTATTAAAATAACACTTTGTGAATATAGTTCATGTTTTGCTGCAGTCAATTGGGAATACATGTTCCAGGAGACTTTGATAGATCCATGCTACTTTTTTTAATTTCTCACAAAAATTATTTAGTTATAGACTGTTGTTTGGATAAGATCTGAAAAAGTTACGTAATGTGATGTTTGGGTTGTATTTTCATAATCGAGTAATTCTCTAGTAAT